TGTTGAGCAAAACAGCTCAATAGCACTTTTTGCTGAGATTGGCAAGATCAAGCTCTTTCTGCTTGCTTGTAAGCAAAGCAATTAAAAGCAAATCCAGATTCAACTGCCAGTGTTCCTCTTGAGAGTGAAGGAAAAGAGAAGGGAAGAAAAGGAGCAACATGATTTCTCTCTTAAGGATGTACATTGCTATGTTGGTGTCATTGACCCATGCAGTATTGGCAGGTGATAACTAGAAAAGAAAACTGGGCAAATTTCCAAGGAGTAGCTGTAGTTGGTAGTAAAAATGCAATCTGGCTGCAGTGGCTGAAATAAACGGTCATTAGGGCTGATTAAAGTCAGATTGAAGGTGATTCAAACAAGCTAAAAGGGGGAAAGCACAGGCAGTTACATGTAGTTTATTATAAACTTGTGGAGTTATTTATATGATTCAGTCTAGTACAGTGAAAATGGGTATGTTTATAGATTGTAGTTGGCTTTGGGATGTTGCAGGTGATTTTTGATGGAAAAAATTTAGAAGGAGGTTTTAAAGCATTGTCTTTCTTTTGTAGCTCTTGCCCTGGTTAGTGATGTTGCAGATGCTCTTAAACATGCCTCTCTTACGTGTCTCAAGAAGGGGCTCAGTTTAAATATCACTGTGACTGCTGTGAGGGCTGGCTGATGCTGTAAGGAACTTCTAAGAAGATTTTGGCCTGGTTGAAAGAGTATATTTTGATTGACCAAAGCAAACTTATAAAAATATTTTAAGCCTATTAAAAATAATACAAACCAAAACTTTTGAAGATTGCCCAGAATCAGCGGAGCAAGATATTTTGAAGTTTCAAAACGTTTACAGGGCAGGACAAATGTTTTCTAGTGGGATTAATTTGTATAATTGTGATCAGCAAATCAGACACCATGTGGTTAAGCTGGAGTAAATCTGTCATAAATGACATCAAGATCAGGCCAGCTGCATTACATTTGCTTCAATTCTCACAAAATATATAGATGGAGAACTGGATTCTTTTCCTGTTGTGACACTGGTAGGAGTGTCTTGCATTTATCTGATCTATTCCTTGCCATTGCCTTGATAGGCTTTATGTACTCTGTGTCAAGCTACGTGTATGTACGCAAAACTGTAAATTTATGGCTGCATTTATAGTATTAGGCAAGTATTTATTGGTTTTAAACACCATTAGTCTGGAAATTGACCAGAACTTTGACCTTTTTATGATGTGATTTACTGCTGTGAGCCTTCAAATTCCATGGACTCCATTTAAGCAAGTTACAGGTCTTGGCAGGACAAAAAACTGAACAAGAGCTTAGTCTTCAAACCAGTGGAGTTTTGCTAGATTGAGCAGATAACTGCTCTGGAGTGACCAGGGTGATCGTGGAAAGGCGTAGAGGAAGTTCAGCACTCCTGTGGGCTGGGACTTGTGGACTAGAAGCAGGAGGTGCCTGGCATTGCTGGGGCACATCTCGATGGAAGAGCACCTTTGGGAGCACTCTTCTAGTTCACGTGACAGGAATGCATTTCTTCATAGCTTGTGCAAATAAGGGCTAAGGGGTCAGCTCCCAAATTTGTTACTGTGTAAACATGAGATTCCAGGGATATTTACCTTTGCCGTGCAAATGGGGAAGGTGGCTTCCTTGCTCTCCTCGAGATAAAGTGAGTTTTGGAAAAAAATGTAGTTTCCTGAAACCACTGCTTGGTTGGTGTTGCAGTGAGTTTCTGATTATTTTTGATTGCAATAGTTTAATAGAAGATCCTGTGTTGGCTTCCTGGGGTGATGAGAGCACCTGGCTGGTTTGTGAACATAGAATCATGGAATGGTTTGGGTTGGAAGGGACTTTAAAGCTAGTTCCCACCCCCCTGCATGGGCAGGGACATTTCCCACTAGACAAAGTTGCTCAAGCACCTTTGGGAGCACTCTTCTAGTTCACGTGACAGGAATGCATTTCTTCATAGCTTGTGCAAATAAGGGCTAAGGGGTCAGCTCCCAAATTTGTTACTGTGTAAACATGAGATTCCAGGGATATTTACCTTTGCCGTGCAAATGGGGAAGGTGGCTTCCTTGCTCTCCTCGAGATAAAGTGAGTTTTGGAAAAAAATGTAGTTTCCTGAAACCACTGCTTGGTTGGTGTTGCAGTGAGTTTCTGATTATTTTTGATTGCAATAGTTTAATAGAAGATCCTGTGTTGGCTTCCTGGGGTGATGAGAGCACCTGGCTGGTTTGTGAACATAGAATCATGGAATGGTTTGGGTTGGAAGGGACTTTAAAGCTAGTTCCCACCCCCCTGCATGGGCAGGGACATTTCCCACTAGACAAAGTTGCTCAGAGCCCCATCCAGCCTGGCCTTGAACACTTAGAAGGAGGGGGCTGAAGATCCCCAAGCTGCAGGCATTCAACATTCTCTGCCATTTTGGTGGGGCTGCCAGAAGCTGCCTTTGCAGAGCCTGTGTGCCTCTCTGCTTTCACTTAGACTCCAGCAGCTGTATTTTCACCTGCCTGGTGCTTGGGGACCTCTCAGCCAAGGACAACGCCCTTTGCATGCGAGTCATGCTGTTGTGTGTCTGTTACACTGCTCTCTTCTGACCAGTGCAGCACCCTGAAGTTGCAGATGATGGTGACTTCTCTCAGGTAGGAACTGGTGGGGAGCAGCAAGGAGAGGAGGCACAGCCATGGGGCTCTGCCACGCAGCAAGACCACCCTATGGCCTGGTGTGGAGGTTTCCGTCTTCTCTGTCACCCCAAGCCAGGACCTCACCATCACCCTTGCAGTTGTTGCTCGCCCAGTGCTGTTGATTAATGTGTCCAAGCTGCCCAAATGATTTACCAGGCTTAGTCGCCTTGGAAAAGTCAATGAAAAGGGAGAACTTTATCTCCTGCCTCTGACAGAGTCTCAGGTCATGTAAATCACTGCTGCTCTTTTGAAATCTGTTTACATCAGCAGAGAGCCTAACCCCTGACAGCTGTCACGGGAGCAGCCTTGAGAAGTGCTATAGACACATGAAGAGGCAGATCTCTGTGCAGAAGAGTTTAAAAATAAGGGTCTTCTAGACAGGCTCCTGCCTTGAATGGTGTCAAACCAGGACACATGGAGGAAAATAAATGATGGGACTTCTCTGCTTAGTGCCCTGGTTCTGTGCTGAGGGATGCTGCAGCTCCCTCCCAGCCCCAGCATGGAGCCCGTCAGGCTCTAATGGCACTCATGGAAGGGGTTGGGGCATGATCCCAGCTGATGTGGAGAATCAGTCAGATGCTTCATCTGCTGCTGCAGGAATTGTTATCATTCTGTGAGTGTCCTCCAAGGTCTGGTCTTTGGTGCAGTGCAGTATCAGGTGGCACTTCTGTAGCTGTGAAAAGTTGTGAATAGTCATATTTTGCATCCAGACAACATGGCACATGCGCTGATACAGAGTCGTGTGCGGTGCTGATCATGGTGAACTGTTATTTTTGCATCTTGTTACCACACACCATTTTACTCACCTTGGCTCTGAGGGACAAATCAATACTCAGCATTCACCATACTGAATATTATTTAGTTACATTCAATTTTCGTTACACTGCACTGTTGATACAGAAATTAGAAAAAAAGGAACTTCACCTACCCAGCCAGTAGCAGTTTGATTTATGCTCTGACTTTCTTCAGAATAAATGTATATATATTTTTTTGATGGAGGCACCAGCATTTGTAATGTGAAACTACATTTTAGTTTGGGTTTTCTCATTGTGTATGAGTCTGTGTTTTCTGAATCAATGACAATGTTTTTGCCTTCAATTTCAGTGGGATGTGATCAGCTGATTTTGCATCTTGTTTATGAATGTCTTATACTTTAATGAGCTAGGCTTAGGAAAAAAAAAAAAAAGGCATTTGCTGCATTTGTTTCCCACTATTTCAGCCTGTGTGGTGTGAATGAGCACTTGTAGTTGTGCAGTTGAAATACTGGTAGTTTAGAGCCACACTCTAAAGTGTGTAGACACACTCGCCTCTGATTTGGTGGTGTTCATACAATGTGCTGCTTGAAATACTAGCAGGCTGAATCTGCAACATCAGGCAGAAAATGCCTGAACTGAAGTGACTTAAGAATAGGCTGGAAGTCAGGGTCGGCAGCTCTGGTTTCCATAATAGATACAATTAGAAGAAATACAGAATGTTATTTATTTTTTTGAATAGGATGTTGGGGGGGAGAGACAAGGGGGAACCGCCAAGTTTGTGCATCTGGAGGCTAAATAGAAATGTTTATAAATGATTAGTTGAATTTGCTGATGCATTCATTAGAGAAACCCCCGTCAGTGGCTGGGAAAGTGAGAGGAGCTGTGAACAGAGAACAAGAGGCAGCTCATAAAGGCAAGTGAGACTGAACGGCAGCCAAGGGAGAGGAGTGATCGGCAGGGCAGCGTGGAGGCGCGGGGCGAGGACCACGCTGACATGCTCCCTCTACTTTGTATTTTTTCTTCTCTGCGGAGGCCCATCAAGTGACTTTCCCTTTGTTCTAATCTAAGCAAGCAAAAAAAAGTTTGCTTAATTAAAAGCCTGTCTTTTCTTCCTCCTCTAAAGGGGCCAGAGGAAAACAGCGTGCCCTTCTGAGGGAGAGGGAGGGCTGGGAACGCCTGGTCAGGTCTCACCCCGACAATCCTGCTCACTGTTAAGAAGTAGGACAGTGAGTCAGTTCATTCAAGTGGATGCTGTTTATGCAGTGGGACATTCTTCCTGTAAAACTCCCAATAAAACCAAAGCCTCACCTACGCAGTGGGGAAGAGGAAAGGGTTTTGTGCACAGACTGTTTATTTACAGATGCTTTCTGGAGAAAAAGGTGAGAAGAAGAAAGGAGGAAAGGAAAAGGAAAGTAAGGTGCAGAGCTATAAACACATTTGCTGGTAAACTGGGGCTGGTACAGTCTAGCCTGTCACCTTTTCTGTCACATACCCCACTTCTAAGCTGTTATAATAGACCTTGCCTGTTAAAAAAAGCAGTTTGCTAGAGCTTTCAAAACTATTGCTTTGCTGTGGTTACTTGCAGAGTACAGACGGGTGCCTGAAGCTTTTATTCCTGATGAGAACTATAGATGCTGGCCATCTTACCACCACAAGGGCTGCCTCCTCTCCGTGTTCGATGTCAACGAAGCCATCGAGATCTGTGAAAGCTATTCCCAGTGCAAAGCTTTCGTCTTAACTAACCAGACAACTTGGACAGGTAGGTCATGATGCTGCTAAGCAGAAAGAGCATGCGAGTCACATACTCTGGCTGCTTTAGGCATTTTAATACAGTTTGAAGAGCATGTTGCGTCGAGCTGTGGGAGCCACCAGCAGCAGCTGGAAGTTTCTGAAGCTCCAGCTGAACTGGTTTGATTTTTGGTGGGGCTTTTATGTGCCTTCTCTCAGAGGGACAGGAACTGTGGGTGGGCTCAAAGGAGCCAGCACCAGAGAGTTACAGCACATGGACCAGAGGTCTCCAAACCATGGGGTCTGAAATATTATTTTAAAACACAGCAGCAAAAACAACAACAAAAGCCTGTGACCTGTTTCTGCAGTTAAACGTGCAGGACATGGTCCAACATCTGGATTTAAATAAATCTTTCTGATCCATATGGTTGTTCCAGTTTGACACAAAACCAAACAGGTTCTTCTGTGCATCTAGCTGGGACTTTCTGGCTGATGTGGAAGATGTCCTGCCACTGGTGAGAACACTGTACCTCTAGCAGCAGGGCTTTGGCTAAAGGACAGTGATGAGGGAGGGTTTAAAACCCAGTAGAAGTACAACTTCCAGGGGAAAATCCCATTTGCTACTGCAACTCATTTTCTTGTCTGAAAGAGTACACTTGTTGAACAGAGAAATACGTTTTCCAAAAGGCCTGTGGGCCTGGCAGTCCCCATGTGGTTCCCCTGAAGGCAGGCATTTGGTGCTGATTTGACATCAAGTGGAGAACTGGCCCTGGCTCGCTGCTTCTGCACCAGACTTGTGCCTATTTCAGGCATCTCCAGAGCTATCTGAGAAAAATGTTACAAGTCTCTGCTAAAAATCTCCAGTAGCTGCAGCTCAGGAGTGGCTCAAAGAGCTGAATGCCACAGCTGGCTGTCAACTCCATGCCCTATCCTTGCATGTCCAGGAGAGCTGTGTGCCCCTGTAGCCAGCCCTGGCCAGCTCAGCAGGCAGTGTTCCCCTGGGTAAACTGCACCCCTTGGGAGGGTAAAGAGAAAATAAATGTTTGTGTCTGTAATGAGCAATGGACCAAATCCACGTTCCTTCATAGCCTTCCCCAAATGTAACCCGTCCCCTGAAGTCAGGGTGAGATTTTCTTCTTTGTATTGTCTCCACATACACAGGGCAGTTTCCCTGCCTGCAGTTGCCATTTTCTGCTAGGCTCACATTGGCTCCCCTGCTGCTGTCTTTGAGAGGAGCTGAGGGACACCCTTGCTCTGCCACAGACTTTAGCATTGCAAGTTATTAAGGCTCAGAGGCTCAATTTACTCTCTGTAAATCTCTTATCACAACGTGTCTTAACCTTAAGTCAAAATCTGCCCTGTGTGCAGTTGGATGCTTCAGTTGTCCTTAGCTGAGCAAGATAAATACACACTCAGGCCAGGCTTTTATATAAGCCTAATGGGTCCCCAGCTCTGAAAGCATCACAAACTAGTAGAAGCATTAGACAGTTCAGAGCGTTTTAGGCAGTGTACTGCCATGGCTTTCTATATTTCTTGTGCTTCTGAGAAGTTTTAACAGAGACTTCCATGGAACCTAGAAAAAACTGATTTATATTAAGCTTGCCTGTCACTGACTGGTGACTGCTAGGCCATCATGTTAGGCTACTTATAGTCAGACTATTGAAGCTACTGAATGTACTAAAAAATAATTATTATGTTACAGGAAAATTCATAGGAAGTTTAGAGCAACTCCTGTCTCAGATTATAATGTGAAAAACAAATGAGACATATTAGCAATATTTCTAGTCTTACTTACCTTTACCTTGTTGCTCCTGATGCATAAATACTTGAGTGCCTGAAATCTGCAGCATGGACATTTGCTGGGTTGTTGAGGCATGCTGTTTGCTGTGTGATACTTCTAAAGAAAATACTGTTACGGGAGCCTTCTAGAGAGGCAGGCTGAGAGTAAAGACCATTTGATTTTCTGAAGTTCAGAGAGGGAAGGCAGAGGTTAAACAGCTGTGGAAAGTCTCTCTGTGGCCCCTGGTCCAAGGAAAGGCAGACAGTGCAGATCCATGGGATGACAGGTACTTATCATGAGACAGGAATGTGAAGATGCCAGGTCAGTAACCATAGGGAGATACAGGCACTGTGCTGCATCTCCCACAAATACTATGGAGTGAAGCATCACCAAATTCAGCCCCCCTGGTCTCCAAAGCCTGTGTGACAGGTGCTTTATGCTGCCCAAGCTGTTAGTACTTGGCTGGTGCTTTTTTATATTAGAAGCAGAAACCTTGTTCCAGCTTGTTTAGGACCCAAAGCTATGAAGTGACCAGCAAGAGCTATTTCAGAAAAAAGTCATGTTGAATTGCACTAATCAGTTTTGCAAAGGTGGTTCTGCTCCTGTACAATCCTGAATGTCCTGAACCCAAGCCTGTTTTTATCAGTGGGAGAGTATTTAAATATGTTTTTTTAAGATAATGTGAAATTTGTACTAAAATCTTCATTTAACATGTTAGCTGTGCACAGTCATATCTTGAACACACTTAGATAAAAGTAAACAGACTGAGAGTCGGGCAGATTCAGTGTCATTCTAGATGAAAGCTTTTCAGTTTTATACTGGGTGAAGTTAAGAAAGAGTTCAGGCTCGGATTGCCTGTAGCATGCATTGATTGAAGAAGAATATGAAATACTAATATTTTAAAGTTTGCAACCTGTTGCTCATCACTTCCTCTGCCCTTTCCTATCTGATGCAGGTCGGCAGCTTGTCTTCTTCAAGATGGCCTCAACTCATATCGTGCCTGATCCTGACAAGATAACATATGTGAAGGTGACAGACTGACAGCTAAAGTGGCTCAGTCTGACCCGTGAGTGACAAGACCTGTTTGTGTATAAATATAGGCAGCTGTTAGGTATAAGGTGGCTATGCCCGGAGAGATAATTGCACTATTACTCATTCTAATCTATAGAGTGCTAAACAAAACTTTAAAGAAATAACCTGCATGACCAGGATGAATGTGCAATAAAACACTATTTTGATAATGTGATTTTTAAAAAATAAAACAAAGTGAAGTACAAGATACGATACACTGTTAGAGTATAATTTTGGTTAAAAATCAGCTGGCAGCTCTGGCTTTTCTAACCAAGGTTACCATAATGTTTCTGACCTGTCTGTGTGAGCACAGGGATGAAAGCTGATCATTTATTTGGGAAGTCTGTATCCTCCACGCTGATATTTATTTGGGCAGGTACAATCACAACAGAGTAACTGGAGCATACCAGTTTGTAAGCTGAACAGCAAACATTTCTGAAGACAATCAGCATTTGTGTTAAAGCTATCAAATATGCAATGCCAGGCTATTTGTCAAAAGGAAGGAATTGGTTATGTTTGGAATTGCAAGGCTGTAGCTAATTTTAATTTTTACTTCCGATATTATCATAAAGTTTCGATTTTAATTTAAAAGAGCCATTTTGTAGGTCTAGCAAATCACATAAGCATATGAATAGCCCCGCTGAAAGGGTGGAGATTTTGCCTGAGTGCCGAGTACTTTGCTGAATAGGGATGCGCCTGAGCATATGCTCACAATTAAGCCTGTGCCTAAGACTTGTTGAATCGAGTTTGAATTGTTCAGGAAGCCACATCTTTGACAGACTGGCAAAGCAAGACAGCTGGTGGAACAGTACTAGTTTAATAACTATCTTGCAGTTACTCATATATATTATCATCAAATCCTTGGTTGTCTAAGGCACTGCTTGCTAATTCTTAGAGAGAATTAAGTAAATGACCTTAATAATGGCAAATGAATGCTGGCCTTAATTCTATATAAAATGCGTTTTACAGGCATGGTGTGTCTAGAGAATTTGCTTTCAGTGAAAGCAATAAAAGTAAATGCTAAAGTGACCAATGTCATACTGTTTTGTAGTTTGTACAGTCAGGAAAAAAAAATATGTGCTTTTGTTTCTCAAATTGTTTATTTTTGTAAAAAAAAATAAAATATAAATACCATTTCCTTCATACTCGTTTTTTTTTTTTTTTTGTGTTGCAAATAAATACCTACATCCAGTGACATCGTATATTGTATATAAAAGTAAGCCTGGGGTATTTTTTCCAGGAAGGAACTGAGGTTGTTCCAGTGGCTCCTAGTGAGGGGTGTATTCCTGGGGGTATTGTCTACGGGGCTGCCTGTTGCAAAGTGAACATTAGAAAACAAGGTTTGAGCAGCCTTTTTCTCTGCAGTTTGAGTCACATCAGTACCAGTATTTTAATGTTTGGAATGGGTGAGGATAAGAGCAGAACCTGAAGGAATTACTAGGCTAAATGGTGTTTTTTCTTACTGGACTTTACCAAGAAGGGTCTGAGAAGGAGAGCAGGAGAGCCAGGGAGGCTGGGCAGAAGTGCTCACAGCCTGTGTGACTATGCAGGAGAGATGATGACACCGTTGGCAGTGGGTCTTGTCTCACCACCATTTCTCCGAGGTCACTGATACCCTAAGGACTTCAGGCAGTGACTGAAATGACACACTGTAATGCCTGTCACTCACAGATTATCAAACTCCCAGCCGTAACAGCTCAGCTGATTGTGTCGCTGTGCACTCAGGAACCCATCAATCATGCCGTGGTAATAAACAAACACTACAGATTCTTTAAAAATTGCTACATAAATCATGCCAACACAAGCTGCACAGTTCACTGAAGTGATATGGGTTGTTGGCAGTGAGGTGCTGGCATGTATTTTGAAAGTCTTTAACCTCCTGTGATTGCCTTACCATTAAGCACTGTACACCACTGCAAAAATACTCTGTGTTAAACAATGTGAACAGTTAAATTCTTTAGTTGCATTCCTAAGTTAAAAAAAAAAAAATGGTGTGTAAAAAACCATATATCTCAAGGTAATTCTTTAATGTTGTATACAGGTAATTTGGGATAATTTTATTCTATCACTTTCCATGCACTGGAAAAAAGAGCCTATTAAGTCAGGAATTGTTTATCCCTGGAATTAAACAAACTTGCCAAACCAATTTGTATCAGCTTTTGCAAACAGAGATCAAGTAAGCAAGAAAGAAGTGCAGCCACGAGCCAAGAAGCTGGATTCTAGATTTCAGTGGTAATCAACTTTATACAGGGAGCTTTATAACTCTTTGAGAGTCAGGCTTTCCAACAGAAGTGCTGATTAAAATCTTAATAAGGGAGGCGTGATACTACAATAAGTTCATTTAATAGCTGTAATAGTGCTCATGCACTGGCAAAAGTCTGAATTTATGGGGAAAAAGTGTCTTTGGCAGCTGTGGGTCTGATTCAGCAAACTGCCTGGCTGGTGCTTGTGGCATGAAAACCCCTGAGAGGAGAAGGAAGGAAGGCACAAAGTGAGCTGGCAGGTTTAGGACAGTCAGTCTGGGAGCTGCTCTACATTTTTTTGCAGGAAAGGCATTTCTATCTGTCCTTTTCCCCTTAACATTTTGGCTCCTTTTTACATTTCCTGGCTTCCTTCAGCCACAAGGTAGAAAAGTGAAAATAAGACGCCCACAGGGCTTTCAACGACTGATGTCTGCATGTGCACGTGCACGTGTGTGTATGTGTATATGTATTTATGTATGTGTCACACTAAACATGGGGGGCTTATTTCCTCAGCGAAAAACCAATTGGCTGTGCACAAGATGAAGTGCTAAACAGGATGTTGAGTTCATCTAGAGAAGTGAGAGCTGCATGAAGCAGTGGGTGCTGAAGCTCTGCAAGGAGCTGCGCGGTGTGTTCCATCCCATGCCGTACTGCTGCATTACCCAGGCTGGGCCGTGGCTCAGCACCTCCAAGAGCTGCCTGCCATCTCTGTGATGGTTTGGTGAAGGGGTGACACTAGTCCCATTGCTGGGAACAGACTCCAGGTAACAAAGTGGACATTGCAGAGCATTCTCTGGCCTGACTTTGTGAGGGCTGTGGTGGAGATACGCTAAAAGCTTGTGTTGTTCTGATTTGATATATCTTCCCTGAGCCTACTGTTACTTCTCTGGTCATTTTCCAGAGCTTTCTCCTAAACTTCAATGCGTGTTTTTAAGTGGAAAGCTGAGGTCTCATGTGTTCAGCTCCAGAAGCAGGTTGTTAGAACTCACATCACATCTAAGAAATGTGTAGTGAGATTTGTGACACCACGATGAGCATTCACCCTGAGAGAAAGCCTGAAAACAAGCAGGCCCTGTTGCCAGCTGAAGAGCTTGGGTAAGTTTGTATAGAGACTGAAGGGAGGTGGATGTTGAGTCTTGGAGAGATGTTCTTTCAACTGAAGGAGTTTAGTGTAAGTATAGCTATTCCTAACGTGCTTTTTTCCCTCCCTCTCCCTGCTTCACTGAAGCATTTTGCTTAGTACTTCTGCCAGCCATGACCACTAAGTTTCCATGTAAGAGGTGTGGGAAGGATAAGAGAGTGGGGTGCAGGCGGGACAGCACCTCAGAGTGAAAGCAGGTCTTCCTATTGCCAGTTTTGTGGTTACTGCTGGGGATCACTGCTCTGGAGTAGTACCTGACCATGATAAGTGCACAGTAAAGACCTTGTCCCTGCTTCTGACAGTCACTTTAGCAACTTGTACCACAGCTTGTGATAATCACAGCTTGTGTTCACACCAGGTGAGCAGAGGAGCAGATGTAGTGACTAACCAGTCAGTCACAGACAAGCATCCTGATAAACTTACCTGCCCACAGGGGCTCTCTCCGCTTCGGTTATGGAGAGCAGGGTCCCAGCATCTCCCTGTAGGCCTGCCCTGCACAGCTGCTCTCCCACAGCCTGCTGTAACAGACACCTGGGGACACGCGGGAGGCAAGTGTTGCAAGGAGGACTGGAGAGAGGCAAAATATATATAGTTACTCAACTTCTGCTGGTGCTGACCCTATTAATGTTTATAAGGCTCTGCGTCTTCTGGCACTGTTGCTATTTAGAGCAAAAAAGACACTCTTGTTGATAATAATTTAGATTAAGCAAGTGATTTAGAGAACTTGTAATTCAAAGCATATGGAAGGTGATAGTGAACATCCAGAGATCATGTTATGCTGCCTGTCAGGAAGACTTGTATTAATACAGGGATGTTCCAACTTGAGTAGGAAGAGTCTTATCTTGTATTCTGTAGCACTACATTCTTTAAAGACTAACTAAAGCCTATTACCAGGAAAAAAAAAAAAAGGAGAAATGAAGTGGCAAGGCTGTTCACAAGTTTTTTTCAGGAAAACATATCCATAACTTTTTTGTCAAAATGTGAAACACTGTTGATCTGTTGAAAGAACTCAAACAGATTTGGTTTGCAAAGACTCAACTGACATTTTCATCAATCAACTGCAGAAAGAAGAAAATGGGGCTCATAGAAGATTTGTGAAAAGCAGGCAGTATATAAAGACTTCACAGTCATACTCTGCTTCATGTTTTTTTGAGATGTCATCATTTGATCTTTTTTTTTTTCTTTTTTTTTTTTTTTCTTTTTTAAACATATGTTTTTTCCTCTTTTAAGTTTTAAGGAGGAGTGAGACCTGTTGGGTTCACTCGGACTGACTGCCCCTGAGAGCTCCCAGGGCACATAGTTCCTTCCTTCAGCACAGACATGGACCTTGGCATTTTAAGTCTAATGAGTAAGTTGCTTGCAAGCAAGTACAGGTGATTTTTTTCAAGTTGACTTGGGTGCTTTTAAAAGCTGCATTTTACAAATGTGAAGGAAACAAAACGTTGTATCTCTTCCCTTTGTCACACAGTCAACAATTGCCTTTGTGTAATAGGTGCCCGACTTCCCCATACAAACTGGGGGGAAATATAATTCAGTAGGAGCCACCCTTGTTATGAAACTGTCTTTGATGTCAAGCCAGAGGGCAAACACCACATTTCTTAGAAATTGTGGCTTGTAAACAAAAAATCTCTGCCAACCACAGTTTTTCAGCAAATGACTCTGAGGCTCAGAAGGAAGACTAAACTATCTAGTGGCTACTTGTAATGATAAAGCCAGGATCTGATTTTACTGAGCTTGATTTTACCAGTGTAATTTGGTTAATCCTTGATTTACATTCACAAAAAACAGGATCAGACTGCTAGACTTTAAAGTAGTTACAAAGTAGGAACTTGATAAAACCTGCCTCTTGACCTAAATATTTGGACCATTTATTTAAGTGAGGAAAATTACACTGATTTTCCCATATATACATATGTGTGTGTAAGCATGTGGAAGCTTCAGCAAGACACAGCACATTAAGACATACTATTTAATAAATAATCTCAGGAAAGTAATAGAAGTTCTACACATTTATGCTCACTCAGATATAATGCCATTTTTATTTGTCATCCTTATGCTGACTTTAGGTATGCCCTAAGAACAATTTCTAG